AGATCGCACCATAGCCTTCACCATCACCACCCCTTCCCCCTTCCCGCTCCGTCCCTCTCCCATCTTCCCCTCGTCTTCCCCTTGCCGCACAGACCCCGATCCCCCCTTGAGAGCTTTAACAAGTGAGTGTGCTGCATGCAGCGCCCTCTCCTCTGCCTCTGCTGAGGCCGGCACACGGCGACTGTACTCTGCCTCGCGGCTCACACGGCTGCCCTTTTGCCTGCGCATCAGAATTGCAGCAGGTGGGAGGAAAAGCAGTGGCCTGAGTGTGGCTTTGAGTGGTTTAGCCAGCCGGGGAAAGGGCTGCTCTCAACGACCTCTCCTCTGCCTCTGGTGAGGCCGGCACGCGGCATCTGTACTCTGCCTCGCGGCTCGCATGCCGGCCCATTTGCCTGTGCATGGCAAATGCAGCAGGTGGGTGGAGAAGCGTTGGCTTTGAGCGAGCGTCACCCAGCGAGTGTGCTATTCTTAGCGCTCGCTACTCTGCCTCTGGTGAGGCTGCCTTGCGTGCAGTAGAGCAGCGTGTGAAAGCCGGCACATCCATGTAATGTGCCCCCTTCTCAACGCTGGTGAGAGAGCCACACCACACACAGCGGCAGCACTCCGCCTTGCGACTCACACGCAGCGGCAGCACTCCGCCTTGCGACTCACACGCAGCGGCAGCACTCCGCCTTGTGACTCACACGCAGCGGCAGCACTCCGCCTTGCGACTCACACGCAGCGGCAGCACTCCGTCTTGCGACTCACACGCAGCGGCAGCACTCCGCCTTGCGACTCACACGGCGTTTTCGCCTGCAAGGCGAAATTTTGAGACGTCTCAAAGCAAGGCGGAGTGAGTTTTGCTGCCGTCTGTCTGCACTTGAAAAGGCAGCAGGTGGGGATTTGACTCCACCTCCACTGCAGGTGCAGGTGCTGCAAAGACACGACTGACCACCTCCACACCGGTCAGTCATGCAGCACCCGGAAAGTGACTCGCAGAAATACTTTGTCCGCCTCACGACTCGCTTGGGCTGCTTTCCTGTGCACTGCAATAGCAGCAGCAGGTGGGAGGAAAAGGGGTGGCTTGCTGGACGCGCGTCACCTAACTTGACCCTCACAAACACAAGTATCTCTCCTCCCCCACCTCATGCGTCCCTCTTACCTGCAAGCGCATCAGACTTGGTTGGAGGTGGGAACGTGTCGGCTTTTGAAACGGCTCATTTCACCAGTACCTCCCCTCCCAGCTAACACATTAATAATACCCTCCGTCCCAGCTCACATTAACTAGATCGCTCGCCTTCGCATTGCAATGGGAGGTGGAGAAGTGTAGTTGCTGTGCCACTGCAATGAAGGCTATGCTCCCAAGAGACGCACAGCAGCTGTTGTTCACTAGACTTGACATGGCTTGACTTGATTCGATTCGACTTTGTCGCACCCGTTAGGCTCAGTCAGTCGATTGTACATGTAGGTGTGTGAACACCACCAGCGCATACCGCTCTCAACGACTGAGAACAACAGGAGTGCAGGCAGGGAATAAAACGGTGCATTGGTGCTAATGCAAAGACAACTGATTTTTGCACGACAAATTCCTGCTGGCATAGCGCAGCTTCCACAAGAAATAGTTCAATGAAGGACTTGTCTCAAGAACTTGTCCTTTCATCCAATAGTTTTCGAGGCAGACCTTGATGAAGGTCTCCTCCGGTATGCCATGCCAGTAGGAATGAGCACTAAACCAAACCGAACCACTTCGATTTTTGAGCTCTTTAACAGACTCGGTTCGGTTCAAACTAGACCCAGGTTGACTTACACCGGAACCTAGAACGTACCTTTTCTGTTTTTCTTTATTTTTGTTACCCAAAAGAAAACAGCACCGGACAATCCCAGCTGCGTGAGTTTCCAGTTCGACACAGCTCGAGATGTTTCCGAGCCGGACCAGCGGGGGAAAAAGAAGAGAGAAACATCGATTTGCGGCGAATTGATTCGTCACGAACCGAACCGCGATACAGTTGGTTGCAATTGCCCACTTGCCAGCCTTTCACCCTCTCCAATAGCCCTAAGGAAGCAGCACATTCTTGAACTCACTCACTCTCACGGTATCAACATACCACAGATCTCTAAGCAAAGGTCATGACTTACCCAAAGAGAAGAAAGAAAGAGCAGGGTGGTGCTTTGACTCAACTCTAAACAAGAGCAGGGTGGTTTTCACAAATATACCACAGGTCCCTTCATTAGAGCATGCCCAGAAATCTTGAGACTGGATTCTCTACTCATGATACACCATAGAAGGCAAAAACCGTTTCAGAAGCCTAAGAGAAAGAATGCATTACAGGACAAAATGAAGCGGGATGCATGCAAAGAGATGAACTTAGGATTCTGAAACTCTTGCAGGCACCTACAGTGTGGTGGAAGCGATTAGTGTGAAAGTTGAAAATGGAGCAAAATATTCAAGAGAAAGAAAGAAAGAAAGAAAGAAAGAAAGAAAGAAAGAAAGAAAGAAAGAAAGAAAGAAAGAAAGAAAGAAAGAAAGAAAGAAAGAAGAGAAACAAAACACACACAAGGGGAAACAAGGGTTAAATTATCTTTTCTGGCCGGCAGAAATGTGTCACACTAGTAAGCAGAGCCGACTCGAATCCATCTCTTCTGGGTGGCCCCCCCAAATCCACCTCCCCTCCCCCCCCCCCCCTCCTCCCCTCCCTCCCAACTTTTGAGGCACCTCAAAAACCAAATGGCTGCTCGACTTGACTCGAATCCATCGTCTTCTTGAAGTGCCCAACCCCCTCCCCCCCTTGACAGATTTGTTAAGTCGAATCAACCCCAGGACATGGCTTTTCTAGCCGGATCAACTCAGCACGAGTCAATCTGATATGAGATCTTCATATAAGACAAGCCAAGCCAAGGCTCGGCGCGTTTCTCCTGTCTAATCTACCTTGTTTTGAGTTGACTCAAAACAAAGCTCCGTGTGTTTCTCATGTCTAATCTACCTTGCACGCATGCCGACTTTTGAGTCGACTCAAAACTCAGTATACCTTGCACATATGACAGGATTTTCATGGTGAATATCAGTTTTGACTCAGAATTAGTCTAAAAAAAGGTCTTAAGAATAGTCTCACGCTCCATTCTTTGCAATCAAGAGACTCACCTTGAGCGAGCCACTGGCTTGACTTCGACCTGGGAGGGATGCAGAGGGCAGCAGGAGAATGCAGAAACGAAGAAAAAGGATGGATGCAATGCAAGGGTTACAAGGGTTACAATGGGTATGCGACCGCCAAACAGTATGCAGAAAAGGGAGAACTACTATCACACATGTTACAGGGAACATAGAAGAAAGGCTCTTGCAGACTCTAATTGTGATATGAGATCTGAGACCACGGAGCACAACCCACACTCACACAGCTGCTGGCGTCCCTCTTTTAGTTTCTGAGGCGTCACTCAGCCTTGCTCCCTTGGCCGCCATGCAGACCGACGTGTGCCCCGGTTGTGGCAGCAGCAAGGGCACCAACAACTGGCATCCCCGTGTTGTGGCAGCAGCAAGGGCACCAACGACTGGCATCCCCGGGTTGTGGCAGCAGCAGCGGCACTGAAAATCCAGAGTTACAACTTTTCCATTGACTTCCCCCCCCCCCCCCCCCCCCCCCCCATCCCCATCTTCCGGTGCCATCCACTTCACCTCCTCAACGCATCTTGGACATTCCCCCTTGGCCGCCATACGGGCTGACCTGCGTTGTGGCAGCAGCGGCAGCGCCACTGGTTTGAGTGTTGCTCCTTACTCACCCATCCATAGGAAGCAGCACATAGAGCATGGGATGGGAGGGTCTTGCCGTTCCTATCTCTGCAACCACCACAGCCATCAGTCATGCATGGTCTCAGGTGACGGCCACTTGATTTCATGTTGATAGAATGTGTTGCTTTGTTTACTTGGAACCATGTCACACACTACCTGTTCTGTCTCTGCAACCACCACAGCCATCGGTCATGCATGGTCTCAGGTGATGCTTGCCTGCCTTCATGCTGATAGAATGTGTAGCTTCGTTTCGTTTCCTGACTCTGCAACCACCACAGCCATCGGTCATGCATGGTCTCTGGCGATGCCCGCCCGCGTGGATTAATTGAATGTGTATCTGCATTCACCTAAAACCATGTCACACACTCCCCGTTCTGCTCCTCTGCCTGTTTTTGTATCATTCTCCGTTGCCGTATATTGAGGCATAGATACATCTAAATGTTTGGATTACCTATTAATTTGTTGGGGTTGAACAATTTATTCGCCCTTTCTTGCTAACCACACCATCTTGTCTCTTTGGATCGCATTTCAGACCCCAACCAGTAGAAGACAAGACCTGCACGGCAGCAGCAGCATCGAGCCTTTTGCGCGAGCTTGGCGAAAGGGAGGAGATGGATAAGGAGCAATTGTCAAAAGCAGCAGACGCCATCGACAATGCATTGCTGTGTCTGCTTGACGCTCTCACAGACCGAAGGAGAAGGTCCGGGAGGCCTGGGCTTAGGCTCGGCTAGGGCCGAAACGCAAGGCCGTTCTAAACGCAGGGTAGTAGGGTGGATGGAGGAGTACGCAAGGCAATTGTTGCTTGTACAGAGTTAAGTTAGTTTCCTTTTTCAATCTGTAGTATGTTCCTTGCCATGTACCATACATGACATTACTGCTCTGAGAGAGTGTGAGCCTACGACGCGTATGTTTGATGGAGGTGCTGCAAGGGTTCCCGCATCCGAAGCTGGTAACCACATTTGGCGAGCCCCGACCATCCCGTGGCGACGTTCGTAATCCACCATCCCAGACAAAATCTCCAATTTGCAAATGTCCTCCTTTCTTCAGTGCAGAATGTGCAGACATAATCTGGAGCCAACTCATTGCTAGGCACTATCTCACAACTCCGCATCCGCACCGCAACCATAGTACTCCAGACCAGATTCGCCGCGAATGGCGCTTTGCCATCCATCGGCCGGTTGCGCAACGACGCAACATCCCTTGGTTTCCCTCTCGCCATCTCTATCCACCTCCTCACAACATGTCTCAGCATCTCTCTTCAGACTATGCCCGCGCCTCTCCCATCTCTCCGCTTCCTCTTTCCGCAGCGTTCCTTCTCTGCCAAACCTTCGAACGAGCCTATCGGCTAGGAATGGCGAGGGCTCTCTTCCCGTCGCCTCGAGGCAGGCTCGGCATCCAAACCTCCCATGCCGTCCCAAACACCAAAGCACCTTCAGCAGTCATCACTCTCGTGTACAATCCGCTTCGATTAAGAGCAACCTCGTTACTGTCATCCAACCAATCTTCAACAACAGACCCGTCCGCGCGCCTTTCCGGCGCGCAACCGTCCCTCTCCCCGCTCCCCTCCGCGCCCCTCCCCTGCCCCTGCGCCATCTGCTCCCGCCGCGCGCTCATCTCCGCCTCTCTCCTCATCTCCGCTTCCGCGCTCCCCGCAAACGGAGCCGACTCCAACGCTTCCGCGCAGACGGCGGAGGCGGCGCAAGCGGCGCTGGCGGCGGTGCGGGGCGGGAAATGGCAGTGGCAGGAGGAACTGTTCGCGTGGATGATGGCTACTGGAATGAAGGAGTATGAGGAGAGTGTTGAGGGGTATAAGCTTGCTCTATTTGAGCCTCTTAGATCGGAAGTCGGTAGAGTAACAACAGGAGGGGAGGGTGGTGAAGCAGTTGGAGGAGGAGGGACGGTAGAATCTGGGAATGATGCGGTTTTCAGATTGGTGGAGATCGGTGTAGGAGCAGGTCCTAACTTCCGCTTCTACACTCAAAACTCATTACAGACACAATCCGCGCCAGGTTTTGAGGTTGTGGGTGTAGATCCAAATCCGTCGATGCAGCCATATGCAGAGGCGTCGGCAGCAACAGCAGGGTTGGCAGGAAACCAATTCCGATTTGTTCAAGGCGTGGGGGAAGCGCTCCCATTGGGCGACGGCTGTGCTGACGTGGTAGTGTGCTCCCTAGTGTTGTGTTCGGTTGCTGACGTCAGGCAGTGCGTTAGCGAGATCAAACGGATTCTCAAGCCTGAAGGAAGGTGAGGAGGAGAATTATTCCAATTTTTTCTCCCATTCTCTTCTCTCTTTTCTCTGTCCTCTTACCTCTTCCCCTTTTTTCCTCGTCTTCCCCACCTGTTCCCTTGTATTCTTTTCTATCCCACTGCTTCCCACCCTTCTCTCCTCTGGCCCCTCCCGCCTCCCTCTCTTTTCTCCATACCTCCCCACTTTCTGCCCAGCTACTACTTTCTGGAGCATGTAACAGCATCACACGGCACCACTCTGCACCTCTGGCAAACCATCCTAGACCCCTTACAGCCCCTGCTATACGACGGCTGCCACATCACACGCAACCCCCTCCCTGCCATCGAGCTAGCAGGCTTCGCTGCAGTTAAAGCCCAGGAGGTGGTGCTACCAGGGCTATGGCTAATCAGCCCCTGGGCAAGCAATTAAAGCTTAGAATGGTTAAAGCCCAGTGGTTGTGCGATCTCTCGTGGTCATTGGACTGTGTGGGCCGAAAGCAGTGCGTAGGTGCTGCAACAAAGAACGATGCAAAGCAGGAGCAGGAGAAGTGCCAGGACGTGCAGGGCCCTGGAATCATCACTGACCTGCACGTCCTGTAATGCACTAGACCTGCATCTCTCTCTTGTCCTCCATTCTCCCTGTCCTTTTCTACCTCCATTTCCCCCCCGTTTCCGTTTACCTTTATCGGTCATGTTTCCGGTCAAATCGACCTGCCCCAGCTATACTTTCTGGAGCATTTGGCGGCACCGCAGGGCACCGCTCTGCACACCTGGCAGCGACTGCTCGACCCGCTGCAATCTGCACTGGCAGACGGGTGTCATCTCACGCGCAGCCCTCTGACTGCCATCAAGCTGGCGGGGTTGGCGCGGTGCAAGCAAGGGAGGTGATGGGTCCGGGGCTGTCGCTGCTGGCACCACATGTTGTCGGCACTGCTGTAAAGACTTAGCAGTTAATTGCTGGGAATTTCTCCCGGCCGCATTAGCAGTTTGGTGTTGTTGTGGTTCCATTTCATTTTCAGCCCAACACTTGTCATAAGCATAGCGTTCTTGCTGCAATCAAGTTGGCGGGGTTTGGAGCGGTGCAAGCAAGGGAGGTCGGGTTGTCTGTTGGTGCTGTTGGTGTTGCTCAAACAACCGTAGATGCTCATTGTACTCATTGTCATGTATTCTAGCACGCTCCTGCAGTATCACAATTGATCACATTCTATCATATACTATTTCTTCAGCGTGTGGGGTTTCATTCAAGCCACAGTAGTGGACAGGTCTAGATGAGTTTCAGTTTAAAACCGAGATATAAAATTGTGAAGGTCGTCCCAGCTTGAAATCTCTGCGATGAGTTCGGCGGATACAACACTATTGGAAACAAAACGAGTAGGAAGAGAGAACTCATTTGATTGGCCCACGCCTCTGTTAAAATTTCTGCATCCCGCCAAAACGATTTTTAGGGCACACAGCTCACAAAAACTAGACAGGAATGGATTGACTATCGAGAGGTTTGGTACAAGAAGGAAACCTAAGGAGTTGTACCCCACATTATCTACCCCACTACAGCCTACCCAAAACTATAACATAGGTATATGTTTGACACACCCCCATAGGCAAAGTGGGGGAGAGCAAGAGGTCACAAGACCAGTCAAGGAAAGCAAAAAAAGCTCAGGGTGGATCACAACGTCACCACACACACTGAGCACAAGCAAACGGCCACAAGGCCAGTTCACATGCAGAGGTATATCAGCAACAAGAATAGTACAGTGATCTCTACCTAACAAGAGCAAGCATGCAGGTATATATATATATGTGTATATATATATATCACAGTACAAGCAGAGACTACAGCAAGTGTGGAAACGTAGGCACAAGGCCCAACAAAGTACAAAAGCGCTGATGGTCACCAGACGGAAGTGCCTTGGTGAATATATCAGCAGTGTTGGCCCGAGTGGCCAGGTGAGCAAGGCGAAGCTGACCCCGCTGCTGCAACTCTCGAGCCGGGAAGTAACGCAGAGCGATGTGCTTCGTTCTGTGCTCCAGTCTATGCTCCTGACACAAGGCAATGGCGGCCTTGTTGTCTACGTACAGAACTGGAGGAGAACGAGGCCGCTCTCCCAGGTCGGTCAGCAGGTAGGCCAGCGTAACTCCTGTGCAGCCATGGCTGTGGCGTAGATCTCAGCCTCACAGCTGGAGCTGAGAACAGAAGACGAGCGTGTAGACCGCCAAGAAACAGAACCGGAGCCAAGGCTGAAAGTGTAACCCTGTGACGACCGCTGTGTAGCCTGGTCGCCAACCCAAGAAGCATGTGAGTGCCCAATGAGGACAAATGGACTTCGCCCTCCAAGCACGAGCCCCATGCCCGATGTACTGCACAAGTAGCGCAGTACCCTCTTAGCAGCATCCATGTGCACCTTTCAGTGCCGACCACGAGCCACGTAGCGAGTCAGAAGGCCAAGAGGGTACGCAAGGTCAGGACGAGTGCAGGTCATCAGGTACATGAGGCAGCCCACTAGCTCTGGGTAAGGACCACTCGGCTCTACGGACTCGTCCGAAGGTGGAGCTGAGAGCAAGTGACCTGTAGCCAGAGGAGTGTGCTGTGCTGAGGACCAGGTGAAGCCGAAGCGCTGAAGGACCTGCTGCACCATGTGTGACTGAGTAAGTGTGATGGTGCAGCGTGCTTTGTTCCGGGTGATTTGCAAGCCAAGGTAGCTGCGCAGCTCACCCAGGTCTGTGCACGTGTGTCTCTTCTGCAGCTCCGACTTCACCAGGGCAAGAGCCTCGGTGTTAGTAGTGGCAAAGACCAAGTTGTCGACGTACACGAGGATGTAGAACGGCGGCAGCGAAGTGTCGGTGCGCAAAAACAGCGACAGGTCTGCAGTCGAAGGAGCAAACCCAAGAGCTGCAAGTGTCATCCTCAGTGTGTTGTGCCACTCACGAGGCGCCCGGCGGAGACCGTAGACCAGCCGCCGGAGGCTCCACTGGGTACCAGGAGGGAACGACCCAGTGAAGCCGGGTGGGCGGCGCAGCCAGATCTCCTCGTGCAGGCTGCCCTGTAAGAAAGCTGTGCTGAAGTCAAGCGAGTGAAGCTCGTAGTCACGCTGAGCGGCAACATGCAGTAGCACCCAAAGAGTGGTCATCTTCGGGGTGGGGGAGAAAGTCTGGAAGAAGTAAACTCCCTCCCGCTGACTGAAGCCTCGAGCAACATAACGAGCCTTGAAGACAGGCGGAGAACCTGGCGGCCGCTTCACCCTGAAAATCCACATGCCATCGACAATGTTCGCCCCAGGAGGGGGAACCTCGTCGACGTACGTGCCTGTGGACTTCCAGGATGCCATCTCTGCGTCCATGGCTGTCTGCCACTGAGAGGAGTACTCACCCGCGATCGCCTGAGCGTAAGAGCGCGGGGTCGGGATGTCTGGTGCATCCGGGTCTCCCTCAGGGGCAAGCAGCATGGCCACGAGATGAGGCGCAGAAGCCGCAAGACACTCAAGGTCCTCCTGTCTGTCCTCAAGGACGTCCGTGCTAAGAGCACACTCACCCCCGACGGACGGAGGACAGACAAACTCAGACTCAGCAACAAGACTAGCAGCGTAGTCTAGACGACACGCAGCAGCAAAGTCAACCAGCTTAGCGACAAAGGCAGACGCAGTAGCAGATTCAAACGACGGGTCAGTGACAACAGTGGCTAGCAGACGTGTGACAGTAGGGTGCTCAGCACGAAACCGGTCAGACTCAGGGTCCACACCGACAGACAGAGAAGACGCAGGAGGAGACGGCAGAGGAATACGCTGCGGAGGAGAGGAAGGACGACGGACTATGAGGTGGGTGCCGAGGACAGCCGGCTGACGCGGACGAGGAACACGACGACCGGAGGCTGTAACGGAAGACCTGTAGACGAAGGGAGACTAAGAACCTGGCGAAGCACAGAGTCAGGCAGTGGCTGAGACAACGGAGACGGTGGAGCGAAGAACAAGCGCAGCTGTGCAATGCCACCAGCACCAACAGCTCCAGTACCCCCAGCAGCTCCAGCACCTCCGGCAGCTCCAGAACCCTCAGCACCAGCACCTCCAGGACCAGCTCCACCAGCAGCAGCACCCCCAGAACGGGCACCTCCAGTCCCAGGGTCTCCAGCCTCAGTGTCTCCAGCAGCAGCACCCCCAGACCCAGGGTCTCCAGTAGTAGCACCCTCAGGCTCAGCACCTCCGGTCCCAGCAGCTCCAGTACCTCCAGTACGAGCACCTGCGGGACCAGCACCACTCCCAGCTCTAGTGACGTCAGCAGAAGTACCTCCAGCGGTAGTGCCCCGAGCTCCAGAAGCGCGACCCTGACGGCGACCGTACCAGTCGTGCAGCTGGTGGGAGGTGAGAGGCACACGCGGACGAAGGCGGCTACTCCAAGGAGACCGCGCAACAGCAGACTGAGAACCCTCAGGCGTCGCAACCCCAGACTCAGTACCCCCAGGCTCCTCACGCTCGGGCTCAGCACCCCCAGACACAGCACCCCCAGGCTCAGGACCTCCAGGCTCCTCAACGCGCAGGCTCAGCACCTCCAGACTCCTCACGCTCGGGCTCGGCGCCTTCAGACTCCGCACCCCCAGCCTCAGCACCTCCTTACTCCTCACGCGCAGGCTCCGCACCCCTAGGCTCAGCACCCCCAAGCTCCGCACCCCCACGCTCCGCACCCCCAGCAGGACCGGAGTCACCAGTGACCTCAACAGGCGCAGGCAAGGGAGGGTCTACCTGGAGAGACACCTGAAGGAGCAGGACCTGGCGCGGGGAGGGGGTCTACCTAGGGAGGACCTGGAGCGAGAAAGAGTGGCGGAGGGGGGGGAGATGCAGTGCGGGAGGGAAAGAGACGGTAAAAGGGGACGGACTCGTCAAAGGTGACGTCCTAAGATGGAAAGACACGGCGCGAGGCAGGGTCGTAAAACTGCCAGCCAGGCGCGTCAGGAGGAAAACCAAGGAAGACGCAGGGAATGGCGCGGGCGGAGAGCTTGTCCGCTGTGGTATCGCGGACAAAGGCAAGAGTACCCCAGACCCGGAAACGTGACGCATCGCCAACCTTCCCCATCCACAGCAGTGTGGGCGAGGTCTCCCGCAAGGAGACATGGGGCCATAGGTTGAGCTGATGCGCAGCGTACCGGACCGCAAACGGCCACAGAAAACGGGGAGTCGCCGCATGGATCATGGAGGTACGAGCGACCTCCATGACTATGCCAATGCGGCACTCAGCAACCCCATTCTGCTGTGGAGAGGCCGGAAGCGTGAACGACTGGGTGATGCCGTGCTCCGCACAGAAGGCTGCCAAGAGGTCAGAGGAGAACTCACCACCTCTGTCAGAGTGCAGACGCAGGACAGGAAATTCCGAGTGGAACCGCTCGCGGAGCTGGAGACGAGCAGCGCGGATCCAAGGGATCAGAACAGCAGCGACATCCGCCTTGCGCTGCAAGGGGAAGAGCGTGGTGTAACGCGTGTAGTCGTCGACGACCAGCAGGAAGTACCGCTCGTGGCCCTGTCCACGGACGCGGGCTGGGCCCCACACGTCCAGGTGGAGAGTCTGCAGGGGAGCCTTTGTGGGAGGGAACGAGGAGGAGTGAGGAGCGGCGCACCGCCGCCCCTCGACGCAGGGAATGCAGGGCGGCGCAGGCGAGGGAGGGAGGGCAGCAGAGACCTTGGAAGGCCAGAGACCAGGAAGCGAGAGTGCATGTTACGAAGGCGAGGCAGGGAGGGGTGACCAAGGCGGTGGTGCCACAAGAGAGTGTGAGTGTCGTGCGACAGGCGGCGACACTCACACTGGGTAGCTACCTGAGCAGACGCATACAGCTAGGGAGACAAAGGGGTGGAGCGCGACGCAGTGGTGAGGGTGTACAGACTGGACACAGGTGCACGTGTGAACTTGGCCAGGTGGCGGCCGGTCCGAGAGCACGTGCAGATCGCCACACGCTGTCCTCCAGGAGTAA